TCCGCGCCCTCTCAAGGGGACGATTTAGTCTGAAATGGTTATATCTTGGTATAACTTGCTTTTAGAGCACACCTAGTGATTTCAGTTATGTACTTCGACACGGGAGGTTTATTTTTAATCTTGTTTTTGTAGTAACTCGTTCCATCTTTGTTACTGTGTTTCAGGATGGATCTTGCAGGGTAGTCCTGGGATCAAGTGGGAATGGGTGAAACAATAACAGCTCTTCCTAGTGAAATCGAGGCTGTAGTACCGAGAAAATCAGACAAAATAAAGATTATGGGTGGGGCTCTGCGTGGTGCTACAGGCAAGTTGATTGGGGTAGATGGCACTGACGGTATTGTAAAGGTAGATGATACACTTGATGTGAAGATTTTAGACTTAGTCATTCTAGCTAAATTAGCTCAATCCTGATTAGTCTCATGTACACAATTAAGTTTTTATGCCATATCGTTTTTGCTCTGATCTAACCGCGCCCCCCCCTTCCCGGGGGGGCGGGGTGTTTATGTTTGCGTGTGGCTCGTACCTTTGTTGAAGTAACAAGTCTCAATCACTTTTTCACACCTGAGTATATAAAGGGGTGAGCATTGGTTGGGAATGACGCCCTCTTTGTTGTTCAAGGGCCTCTCAGTTTTAATCAAATTTATTGTATTTTTATAATCGTTCACATTACAAATTATAGAGTTAGCTTTAGGTGTCTCGGCGATAGATGTTCTTGGGTTGTAGTAATTACTCCCTTCTGTCCTATTTGTAAGATATTTTCTATAAGTAATTTTATGACACTTCCTAATAATTAAATCATCTATTTAAATTTTATCTTTTCTTGATTAATATGAAGGTATTTAATACAGTTGTATCATGAGATGACACTAAGAATAAAAATTAAATTACATAGAAAAATTAATTTTTTTTTAAGATGTGTGAAGCAGTTGAAAATGCTTTGTAAGGAGGACTGAAAAGCATAATGTTTAACTGAATAATGTCTCGTTAATTTGGAAAGAAAGAAGTGCCTTCCATCCTAAATCCTAAAAATTAAATGCCAGCTGATGGTTCAAGATGCGGATGCCGCTAAAGTTAAACGGGTAAGAACGAATTAACTTGAAGTAGTGTCCGGGTGTGCAGCCCTAACTTCCAAAATAATGACGTTTCTGGGACTGCAGGTCCGATGAGGTGTAATGTTTTTTTAACCCCTGATTGGCTTTGGCCCATTGTATGACACACAATTTTGTGATCCGCAAATGAACCCTGAAACCGCCACAAGACGACTGCTCTTTAAAGAAGGTGAAGGGCCCCATTGTTGCCACTCTCACAAGCAACATCCTGCCAGCAGATAAAGATAATATAAAAACACCCGCCGTGCTGTAAATTTTGTAGCATTTTAACTAACTCTGATGCAATATTAACTTGTTGAGAAGGTTTATGCAACAAGAAAAATTCCAGGTAAAAAAAAAAAAGAAAAATTAATTCACTAGATAAACAAAACTGACATGATCAGAAGGACGAAAATGGTAAAGAATCCATTAGTAAACTTTGCTTTTTTCATTTGGGAAAAGAAGTAAAAAGGGGTGGAAGTGTGGAACAAGTGAAAGTGGTGGGTTCCAAGTCGGAAAGTGAAAAGTACCAACTGAGACGACAGACTTTTAACCAAAGTTCAAACGGTCTAATCGTGTCCGCCCTTCCCAATCCATCATTCTCTCTTCCTCTATATCAAACAAACATCATGAACAAACAACACACTACATGGGACAAATTTTGCCTCGTATTCACCAGCACTCCTTCCCCCACTCGCCACTCTCTCTCTCTCTCTCTCTGTGTTTTCTGCATAGCTTTGGTGACAAACAAAGTAGCATCTCATTAACTTTGCGTTATACAGATCCCTGCGTCTCTGTCTAACGAAATGGTTTTTTCTTCTTTTTTTTTTTGGGGTGGGTTTACATATATGATGTTATATCAACTCTAATTGGGTGAATTTAGTGTTCCTCGTATGGCATATTAAAAATAGAGCGAGAAAACGTACGTAATTATCTGATCTTGTCGTGATTCTAGCAAAGCAGACACACGAAAGGGTATGAGTGTTTGTTTTTTCTGCTGGAGATCTACGTCTAGGAAGGATGGCAAGAGTGATTATTATTTCTTCATCACATTCCAACATCACACGTTCTTAGGTTCTAGGGAACTGTTTCGTTTCCAGAAATGTAGCAGCAAAATGACAAATGGGACTGGACATATATCTATCTATCTATATTATTTCCAATCCTTAAAAGTCTCGAACATGTGGTCACGAATTGCCTATTGCCAAACCCCCCAACTTTAAAGCAGTGCTTACAAAAGCACTTCGTACACTTGGAAATTCACGTTTATAGTAGTCATCGTGCGCGCGCGCGCGCGTATGTGAGTTTATCAACTCAGTTCTATCCTCATTGTCTGATTTTTGTGGATGGAGTGCTAATTTTTACAATTGAACATAAAATAAAGTTGGTGTGTTGAAAATAATTGCAGAGTAATCAACCATAGCCATACTGTATACGGGTAATAATCATGTACTTCTTCATTTTTCTTTATAAGTTATTTTTACCAATCTCATTAATATTAATACAAAAAAAATAATAGAAATAAGAGTATATAAAATTTTAAATATAACTATGTATAACAAATATAAAAAGTAATGTTATATTATTTTTCTCTCTTATAAAGCTAATTTTAGATATAACTTTTATATATTATTTAAAAAATCATACCATAACTTATAAACAAAATAAAATAGATCCTGTAGAATGTGCCATATAAATAAAATTAAATATATGTACGTATGTATATAATTCTTATTCATTGTTTGGAGTAAGCTACACAAACTACGATATTGCAACGAAAGACTTGCCATGTATAATTGACGTCAAAGAGGCCAGGCAGTTAAAGAAATAGTTAAGAGATTTGGAATTAGGACGGTATGATTCGAGAGATCATAAGAGGGAACAATGGAACACACGGCTGTCAAAACTCAAAAACCATTGTTCAGCAGACTGAAACGTACGATCTCCATTCATAAAGTTTCCGTCCTCCCAATCCTTATCTGTAAAAACAACGGAAAAGGTAAATTACTTTATCGCACGCAAATTAAACATTTTCCCCTAGAAAGTTACAAAAATAATTCCAATTAAAATTTTAATTTACTTTTAAAGAAAAGTTATTATTATTATACAAAATAATATATAGATATTAAATTATTTTTATCAAAATAGATGTAATGTTTTCTTTTTCTATGGGTTAAAGTGTAAAAATGTTTTTTTTTAAGTTGAAGTAATTTTATTCTCAGACACAAAAAAGTAGTTTAATTTTTAAATTTTAAAAAATAAGGCAATTTTATTTTTCTGTGTAACTATTTATTAACCATTATTTTGACTTTATTTATCAGATAACTTTTTAAAAAAATAAAAAAAAAATCCAGCTGAACATTGGCAGTTACTTTATTTGCCAGGTGTCATTATCGTCCCTCCTCAATCAGCAATCACTTTCATTTTCCATTTCCTTCTTCGACCCAGCAGATCGAGGTGCAGATGGAGGCCCCTCAATTTCCCTTTTGCAACTTGCTCCGATAACTTTCTTTCCTTTCTTCTAGGAGAAAACCCCACCGTCACTTCAAAGGTAACTGGTCCCTCATCACTTCAAAACTTCGCCTTCTTCACTATCGACTTGCCGATTTCTCCTCCTCCTCCAACTCTCTCTCTCTCTCTCTCTCTCTCTCGACCTTCTTCTCTCCACATTCCAGTTCTCCACCTTGTCCGGCAAAAAACTCAAGACTGAGAGCCTCATTGACTCCCTCCTTGCTAGCCTATCCGGGTTTGAGACGCAGAACCCAGAAGGGAAATCGAGTGGCCCTGATGTTTGATGGGTTCAAATTGATGATGCTGGGTCGAATGGCACTGTGGTTTTGTGGGTTCAAATCGAAAGGCGATATGGATTGATGATGCTGGAGGTCACTGGGGTTTGGTGGGTTTAGATTCATCGCAACGGGACTCTCAATGGACCCAATCGGACTCATCATTTTCTCGATTGATAATGCTTCGTGTTCACTGAATTTTCTTGTCTCTGGGGTTTTTGTTTTTTGGGGGAAAGATCTAAAAGTCCATGGTTTAAATTGGTGTGGCTGAGGATTCTCAAAAACCTTTTAGATTATTTTTACCTTTTAATTCTTTTTTATTACTCATTGATATGTTTTTATTAAAATCAATCCTATCTAAAAGATGATTGGATATTAAATATAAATATCTCTTTTAATAAATATTTAAATATTAATTCACTATATTTTAAAGAATTCATTCCTCTTCAACTAAACCCTACCCCATGAATGACATGGTGTGTTTTTATATATGGGGATGTTATGTACTCTTTTATTTATAAGCAAAATCACATTTTAATAAGTATTTATTGTAATTTTTTAAAATTATTCTTCATAGAATTATGATTTTCATTTACAAGAAACAATTAATGCAGTCTTATTTTAATTAAATATAAGAACATTTTAATTTATTTTTTAAATTCCCATACACAATTAATTTGCCAATTTTCTTAAACGGCATGATGTATTTATTTTCTTAGTGTGAAAACGGAGGGAGTATGTTGTATTCGATTTAAAGGGATACATGGATGGAGCCTAGATTTTTAATACGATAAACGAGGCTGAGGATTGCGTAACAAATATTGCCATGCACGTTGAAAATGATTCAGTCATAGAAAGGAAAAAAAAAAAAAAACAAAGAAAGAAAGAAAGAAATATAGGAAACAAACGTGCAACATTTCAATGATTAACCCTAACAACGAGTCATTGATGAAGCACTATATGCCAGTGCCAGGCTCAAAACTTATCAAGTTAATCAACAGTGTTGGGGAGGGCAAAGCAGTACCGCGCAAGAAAAAAATGGCGCATATAAACCCTAGCTGACGCTATTCATCTTTATGATATATTACTACTACGATCCTTGGGTTTCAATATTGGCCTAAAAAAGATGATAACATGGGTTGATTTCTACAAAGTGATGAGTGCGATGGTGCCTCTATACTTCGCCATGTTGGCGGCCTACGCTTCGGTGAAATGGTTCAACATATTTAGCAGCGCCCAGTGCTCCGGCATCAATCGCTTCGTGGCGGTGTTCGCCGTCCCTGTCCTCTCCTTCCACTTTATTTCTCGCAACAATCCCTACCACATGGACTCTCAGTTCATCTTAGCCGACACTCTCTCCAAGCTCTCCCTTCTCTTCTTCCTCTCTCTCTGGCTTTTCTTCTTCCACTCTGCAACCCTGGACTGGCTTATCACTCTCTTCTCTCTCTCCTCCTTGCCCAACACTCTAGTCATGGGCATTCCCTTGCTGCAAGCCATGTACGGCCATTTCACACACTCCCTCATGGTCCAACTCGTTGTGCTTCAATCTATCGTCTGGTATATATACCTTCCCATGCATATCCTTCTGCGTGCAATCTGATTAAAGCTGTATTTACCGTCTTGTCATCTCGCATGCCATGATAATCCTGTATATAATGTTACCATGAATAGGTATAGAGTATATAAAACATCTATACTTCAGAGAAATCACAGTTATAATTTCAGGTACACCCTGCTGCTATTCTTGTTCGAGTACAGAGCTGCCACTCTCTTGATTCGGAGCAAGTTTCCTGGACCGACAGCGGCCTCCATCGTAAAATTTGAGGTGGACGGCGACGTCATATCTCTGGACGGTCGAGACGTGGCACTTCGAACCGAAACCGAAACCGACAGCCACGGACGTGTTCGGGTCCGAATCCGACGATCCACGTCCTCTGCTCCTGACTCCACATTGTCTTCGCCCGCAGGCATCGCCACTCCCAGACTCTCCAACGCAGAAATCTTCTCCGACAGTACACCACTCCATCTGCTTAAGTCGCACCGCGTCGGTGCCCTAGAAGAAGTCAGATTCGGATACCCGACCGGGAGTCCTCGGTTAATAGAATACGCGACTTCGTCGGATGCTTGCTCTCTCCAAGCCACGCCACGGGGGTCTAACATTAACGAATTTGAAATGACGATGTCGAGAAGCCCGCGGTTATGGACGACGTCTCCGGCAAGATGCGGGAAGAGTTACCAAGAGTTGTCGCCGGCGATGTGTCAAGGCGGGGAGGGACCAGGATGCCAAGAAATAACCATGTCAGGTACGTATGTGTGGTGTTGTGTGCGGCGGTGTGTAACTTTTGCCTGTGTCGTTTAGGGGTTTGGGGATAGAACAACACAGTGTCGCTGTAATCGCATCGTTGGCATATTACTTTGGGATTAAGTCAAAATCTTAGGCATTGTAGCTGTTTCAGGTGTACCTTCTGTGAGTTGTGTCTCCAATATTGTCATGGTCATGTGCATTTTCTCCGACTATTTTCATGAGTTTTTTAGCATGGGTTCATCAAATTACAGTTCAAGTGCATTTTTTGTCTTCAGCTTTCAGATCTTGTTGCACCTCGTTGCTCGTTCTTTTTTTTTTTTTTAAGTAGAAAGGGTTTTTCACTTTTCACAATGCATCAGTGATAACATTTTATTCATTGTTATATTATTATTTTTTGTAACGCCGACAAGAATTTTAGAATGATTTTTGTAGACAATATATATTTTTAATTGGGTAAAATATAAATTTAAATTTATAAACTTTGTTCACGTTTTGCTATTAGTTTTTATACTTTTTTTCAGTGTTTTTGAAAAAAATCTAAAATAATAAAAAACAAAAATAAATGGATCAAAAATATTGGAAAAAGATACAGAAATTAAAAGTAAAATGCGAGCAAAGTACAAAATTTAAAGTTATGTTTTTCCTTCTAATTATGTCAATCAAATTATATATAGTTTTGGAAAAGTTTATTACATCAATATCTTCAATGTTCAACGCCGTGTGTAGTTTCTTTAAGATCCTGTCTTTACTGGGAAGCTTCATTGATAGCGGCCATCATATGGAGACAGCACGTGTGTAATGATGAAGGCAGCGATTTTAATTAGTCCCTATAGCTGAAGGTTAAAATAAGCATACATGAAATAACCCTTGCATCTATGATACCAAATCATATGCAACCTAGCTATACTTGAATTTCTTGAATGATAATGTTTCAAATAATTTACAAGCAATATTATTCCTTGGGGTGCGTGGGTGCTGAAAGTTTTATTATTATAGCCTCGTCTAATGCTTTATTGGGAGTTTAAATTTCAATATAAATATTACTATATTAATATGTGCGCTATTCTGGGCTATTATTAGCAAAAGAAAAAGAAATTAGCTTCAGAGATATCACTAATATCCCAATGCTGGAGGAAGGAGGTCCCGTATATTCAGAGGGAACAAACCAGAAGATGCCGCGCGCTCTGGTAATGATGACACTTATACTTAAAGTTGTAGGAAGGAAACTCCTGCGGAACCCTAATACATATTCTAGCGTCTCAGGCTTGCTTTGGTCGCTCATCTCTTTCAAGTAAGTGACATCTATCAACCTACCCGTACATATTTTTGTGAGGAACAAACTTATATATATATATATATATATATAATATAAAGTGATGATTTTATAAAAAAAATCATAGAAGGTGGATGTGAACATGCAGATGGAATGTAGGGATGCCTGGCCTGGTGAATTCGTGTGTGAAAATAATTTCGGACGCCGGCCTTGGGATGGCAATGTTCAGCTTAGGTAATAGGAACATACTGAAACATATGTTCAGAGTTAATTGTGTCTATCGGTTCATATAATTGCAAAATTAAAGTAGTTTTTTAGACGGTATTTACATGTGCTGTGCATGCAAGCAGGGCTGTTCATGGCACTTCAGCCTCGCATCTTAGCCTGTGGCACCAAAACAGCAGCCATGGGAATGTCCCTTCGCTTCATTTTGGGGCCTCTGGTCATGGCTGTTGCCTCCATTGCTATTGGATTGAGAGGACCCAAACTCCGAGCCGCCATTGTACAGGTTCATAATCATATTATCTACTTGTTTTATACCCAAGCACTCGTTTGTGAGTTTAATTGATTAAAGTGGTTATATTATAACTTAAGTTTTGGTTTCTCTGCAGGCTGCTCTCCCGCAAGGGATCGTGCCTTTTGTATTTGCAAGGGAATATGGTGTACATCCTGATATTTTGAGCACTGGGTACGTAAATTCAACCGTTTCTTATCATAATTCTTTCAAACCCTCGTCGTGGATTAAATCTAATTACCCAAAAAATTTCACTAAATTTTTTATTGGAAATATTATTAATATATAATGTTTTTAGTCATAGAGTGACAGGTGAATAACTTAGCTAGTTAGACATCAAAATTGGATTAAGTAAACTCTAATTTAAAATTTTTTTAATGTTTTAAAACGTGCACAGTCGCAGAATGAACGTCGCTTTAAAAAAAAAATTAAGCTTGAGATTAATCCCACAGAATTGTATATATCCTGCCACCGATCGGCGCACACAGGTTTTCTACTGCTGATGCTGCATTCATGACGTCACGACTCTGCTGTATCAAAAACGATGGAAACTAAATTAATGATATAACATTTGTATTTTGAACATACGTGGAGGATCAACGACATCGTCTAGAATGTGGCGAGGAGGATAAAGTTCGAAACGCGCGCGCGCACACACACATATTTGTTGACACTCATCATATTAAATGCTTGACTTTTAATCAAACCCAGGCGTAATAATTAATTATTATAATTATAAGATGCGCCTGTCTGTCTCCAAACCGAATCTTTCAAATACTTTCTGTGGGAGCCACTGCTTACACATATATAATAGGGTCACAAAACTCGTGCGCGCTTTCATACATGGTGATTATTCACCTCTTCTAGACGATATTTTATTTGGAATATTTAATAATTAACCATAGCCAGCTAATCAATTTGGGGTTTCTTGTTAATTTGCAGGGTTATCTTTGGCATGTTAGTGTCCTTACCAGTAACGCTGCTATATTACATATTTCTTGGGCTTTGAAGAGACCAAAAATATCTGCAGCTAGCTAAAGATGTCGTCCCTAGTGGTCAATAAAGCACCAGAAAGAATGGGTACTGTCACAGGCTCTGATTCCATGGGATCTGACGGGACCACAACATAGCATGTATAGCTAGCTAGGAGCCGTCCGAAGAATGCTTTGGCAGTGTCTCTGTGTGCGTGCGTGTTTATCTCATAATAGTATAGAGTGACAAATTATGGGTACGTATTTGGGTTTAGCAGTTAATTAACAAACATATATAAACTAAACCATATATATTATGAAGTCTTTCGATTATTGCAGTGTTGTCACCGGCAACAGAGAAGGTCTTGGGTAAAATTAGGTCTAATCAAAGGGCTCTGGCCATTACACAGGGAAGTAAGCGGCGATAATATTCATGTGCCCGGATCCAAAAGAAAATGGATTTTTATCATGATTGGTGATTAAAGTCGGGGGCGCTCCCCCCCCCCCCCCGGGGTTTTTTTTCTTTTTTTTTAGGTTGGAAGATTCTATGATGTTGCATTTTAAACTTATGTTTCTTGAGGAAAAAATTGGCAGAAAATTGTTATTTTCTTAAAAGACAATAAAACAGATACAATCAGATGATGATGACTAATATGTGATAAATATTGTATTAAAAATAAGGCAAATGATGAAGAGAACATGGTGTGGGGAAGTTGGCCGCTGAGATTGGATCGGAGCTACTGGACGGCTAACATTTCATGTGTTTCGTAGCCGTTTGGTTCTCCTTGATCAATTCTTAACAGCAGCCACGGAGCAGAATGAAGAACGCACATGTTTGGGGGTGATATTCTTTTTTTAAAAAAAAAATGGATACAAGTACAGCTTGAAAGGAAACTGGGTAGATTAGCCTGTCAGATAAGCACCATCTTTGCCGGGTTGATATTGAGAAAATGAGGGAGCTGACTCCAAAATCTGGGAAGCATTATCCTCTCCGTAGGCATGCTTTACGATCAGATCTGCACGCCCAATCGCACTTCGGGGAGTGTACAGGAGACCAACTCCTTTTCTTGACACATAAAGGATCGAACCTCTTGAAGGATTTCTTTCAATGGGTGCTCTTGTCCATTGTCGCACATACATAAGGAGGTGAATACCTTCAAGCGAATCAGCATGGACTCCGACTTTGGCGTCTGAGGGTTGATATTCGGGCCGGGCCGGGCCGGGCATGTTCATGCACTGGGCTAATTAACAAGTACTTCGCCACTTGAAAACATAGAGAAGGAAAGCCAGAGAAGAGGACGGACGCATGGTGAGACAAAAAAATAAGAGCCCAACCAGTACGACAATACTATTAATTAATAGTGGGGGAGTTTAATTATGTATATCCCATGGTGATGAGGTTGAATATGTGAGTTGGCAGAATAATGAGCAACATCCAAGTTACAGATCATGATCTTATGGTAAAGCATGTATAGTGTATCCACAGAATTATCTTACTGTATGTGTTTCGCAATTTATAAGTAATTAGCAAATTAATTAGTAATTAGTGTAAACGACGGACTAATCAGGGCAGGTGGCAAGGGCAGTGACCGCATTCACATGTTCTATTAGTTCAACAACCACGGAATCCATCCACTATATATGTATAATATTCCCCGCCAAACACACACCCCACACACGCACACACATCATTATTGATGGACCTCATGGCATGAATGAGATGGCATTAATGGCAATGAAACTTGAAGATGATAATCATGAACATGGTGACATGAAAGTAGCCCAAGGCAAGGAGCAAGGAGCCCAATACTTTCAATCCAACGTACCTAAAGACCCATTACAATATATTGAAGGTCTAATGACAAGAACTCAAACTAAAGCCATGAAGCAAGCCTTGTTCGGTCTTGTGCAAGAAGTTCAAGAGTTTGGAGAGCATTGGAGCACTCCTCTCAAGCCTAAAAGAGAGCATCTATACGTGTATAATGTGCTTAATATCTAAATTCATGAAGAGTCAAGCCTATGAGATGTAAATCTTAGCCCAATATAAGGAAGACTATAAGTTGAGCCTCTTGCAAGCAATGAGGCATGAAACCCTAGTGAAGAAGTCAAGGGTGGTGTGATAAAATCCTTTATGATCCCTTGATTGTCTTCTAAATTATTTCTTATTTTAATGGTCCTTTGATTTGATTTTCTATTTTGAGTTTAGTCAAAGGTTAGAATTAATTATAGTACTAATTTCTAAATTTTGTAATCCCATAATTTTAGGATGACATCTCCTAAATTATGTGGCTGAATATTTATCATTATTTTTCCTTTTAGTATTAGCAAATTAGGGTTTTAATTTTAAAAAATATTATTCTCTATGAGCCTATATAAATTAGGCATGCTCCCTCTTGTAAAGAAGAACAAAAGTTGAATGAAATTATTCATTTTAGAGTTTATAACTCTTGTGAGCCTTAGTGCTTTGTGGTGGCATCCCGTGTGAGAAACATACGTGATCAATTCTTATGGTGTCTTCAAAGGTTGAGGTTCCTAGAGGCAGGTACTTTAGGGATTTTTTCCTTAATAATTATCCCATTATTTATTTCATATCTTTATTTTCATCATAAATTTGGCCTCTTTCTTTTTGTTCTTGTGTTTTTATTGTGTCAGGATTTTGCCTTTAAACTAGCACGATTCTGCTTCTATGTCCTCTATCAGATTGGTATCAGAGCTTTGGTTGCTAGTTTTGGTTTAAATTCTTGTCCTTTCTTCTTCTTTTTTATTTTGAGTTATTTCTTTGTGTGATCATCTTTTATCTATCCCATCTACTTCTATCTTTTAGTTTTTCTCTTCTTCATCTTTTTGACTTTTTTAATCTTATGTGAGCTTTCATTTTATTAGCCTTCTCAAAAAAAGAGAGACAAAAATACCTAAAAATTCATGCAAAAAAAGGTGTTAGTAGTGTGTTGAAAAAAAAAGAAAAAAATATAAAAATTCAAAAAAAATTACAAAAAAAAATATATTGCTGTAAGTTATGATTATAGAAAAAGGCTATTTTTAAACTCCAAGTTACCAAGAGGTTGCCTAAAGAGAAAAGTCAACTTGGATAATAAGAAAGTATTCTACGTTGATCACTTTTTTATTTTTAATTTTTGATAGTACTTTTCAAATTCTCTACTCTCTTATTTTCTATTTGTGCTACTCTCCTATTTTATTTAGTTTTCTATTTTGTCTTTAAGTATTTGACTCTTTAATTTTTATTTCTTTCTTTCTTAATTTTTGTTGTCACGTGTGGTTTTTTATTTTGCAAGCTTAATTTTATTTGAAAATTTTGCTTTCCTATTTATTTCAAAATTGCAAAATATATATATATATATATATATCCTCTTTTTATCTTGTGCTTGTTTTCTAGTTTTCTTAATTTAGAAGATACTCACTTGGTTGTCTCTTAGTTTCTTAATTTGTGTTTGGTTTTACCATTAGATTCTATCCACAAGCTTAGTGAGTAGTAAAAAGTAAGTGTATTTTTCATCATTAAAAAAAAGCCATTAATTTTTTTGTGAAACACAAGTGACTTTATTTATCTTGAGAGTAAACACGTGAGTTTGTGTGTGTGAGGATCTATTTTTATCTTATATGGTTTCTAGTTCTTCTGTGAACATGAGTAACAAGGATGAATCCCCTAGTATTGATATGAACTCTGTTTTAGAACTTATCAAAATATAGTTACAGCAGTTTCGCTTGAAACTTGATCATAGGTTTCATAAAGAGGATAAAGATGAGTCAGAGACTTCCTCTTGTAAAGGAAAGAAGTGTGAGACCCCCAGTGATGATGAAAAGTATGAAGAGCCCCCTTCTCCTAAGGGAAAGAAATCCTCAAAGCGTGATGTTGACTTATCGGACTAAAAAGTAAAGCATCCTTCATTCAAGAGATAAGCTTGACTCGTACACTTTTATGGACAAGGAAGAGCTCATATACAAGGCTATTAAGTTAGAGCAAAGAAATAAGAACAAAAGTTCTAAATCCTCTTGGAAAGACTCTAAGGCAACTTTCAAATGGAAGGATTTCAAAGCCAAAGATACATCACAGGACAGGGAAGAAATAAAGACCAAGTATGAGGGTAAAACTTTTAACCCTAAACCTTCTTCTTATTCATCTAACACTTCTCTTATTAAGTGTTTCAAATGTCATGGTGTGGGCCACATGGTTAGAGATTGTAGCAATAAAAGAGTTATGATCTTGAGAGATGATGGTGGCTATGATAGTATGCATGAAAGTGATGAAGATGATGCTAATAACGTTGATGATGATTCTACCTCCCATGAATCAAACCATAAGCTTGAATGCAATGGGTGTAGTTGACTCTATTTTGGTGGCAAGAAGAGCTCTCAATATTCAACCAAAGAAGGATGATGAACATGAGCAACACGAGCATATTTTTCACACTAGATGCTTTATCAAAGAGAAAGTGTGTAGCATGGTAATTGATGGTGGTAGTTGCATTAACATAACTAACACTTTAGTTGTAGTTAAATTATCTCTACCTTTAATTCTACACCCTAAGCCCTATAAATTGCAATGGTTGAATGATTGTGCTGAAATTAAGGTTTCTAAGCAAGTGTTAATTATTTTCTCTGTTGGAGTTTATACTTGTGATGTATTATGTGATGTAACCCCTATGCTTGCTGGACACTTGTTATTAGATAGGCCTTGGCAGTTTGATAGTAAGGCTACTCATGATGGTTTTAAAAATTGTTACAAGGTACCTTTTAAAGGCAAGACTGTTGTATTAAATCCTTTTAGGCCCATCCAAGCCTATGAAGATTAACTAAAGATTGCTCAAGATTACAAGCAAAGAAGATATCTCCTTGATTGTGGTATGAGTGAGAGAGAAAAGAAAGAGAGTATTGTTTACTTGAAAATCAATTAAAAGAGAGGAAAAAGAGTGGAGAGAAGGTAATAAAAGAAAAAAATAGAATGGTGGGAGTGAAGAAAAATGGTGAAAAGAAAATATTATTGTGTAGGAAAAGTGAGATTCAAGAGGCTTTGATGAGTGAGAAAGCTCTTATTATAATTCTCAAGAATATTTATTTTTCTACCGACATTCTTGACCCTACTTTGCCTTCTAGTATTGTCTTTTTGTTACAGGATTATGGAGATCTATTCCCTAATGAGATTCTTAATGGACTTCCTCCCCTAAGAGGAATTGAGCATATAATAGATTTTTTTTGCCTGGAGCTGCTATTCCAAACAAGCCTGCTTATAGGGCTAACCCTAAAAAGACTAAGGAGATCCAACGCCAAGTAGAGGAATTGATGATGAAGGGCTTTGTGCGTGAGAGCATTAGCCC